TCTTTCTTCCGGTCTCATTTGTCACAAGACTTTGAGTAAAATATACTAAGGAGCATCATATTGTTTCACACAAAATTGTTGTTTTTAATTTCCAAAAGAATACTGCCAGTTAAACAATTAAAATAAATTCCTTACATTTTAAAATCATTTTCAACAGATTCTGAGGTTACAATACGCTTGAATTCAAGAAATAATTTAAACAGATATTGTCTGCTTTCACAGGTAACGCCTGCCTCATATTACTTCCAGGATTAAACATTACAAATCTTAAAAAACCAACAATACCATGACTACTGGAAGGCAATACTGCAATAAAATTTTATACCAGTATTGTGATCACCAAAGTCGGTATCGGGTCCGTTCGCTCTGAATACACTTTTGCACCCCACATGTTCACCCCTGGGTCCATTCGCACCCTATTTTTATTCAAAAACTGGTTGAATTATTAGATGTTTTTAGATGAATAAATCAAAATATCTATATTTTCATTAATAAAAATTCAGGGCTGGGGGAATTTGATGAAGACTGTCTGGACCATCAGACATACCAGTTGATGATTTTCCGCCACATCAGACTTGAACTTTGATTACAATTGTGACTGTTATTTGAATTTGATACATTAATTCTTAATTAAACTGTTTGTATTAGTGCATATTAGATAGTATTGCCTATTGGTCAGTCAGAGCTCAGGAATAAACAAGTCGTTTTTTTGTTTTTGACTTGTACAGAAGTCAATAAAATGCTCCGCTGGGCGCAGCTTGATACGACCGCAGAGGTCGAACCCGGAACAGTTGGGGCAAGTATGGACACAACATTCAAGCTTGATACAGCACTGAATTTGGATTGTGATTAAATATTTGACACAGCACAGGTTTCTGACACAGAATGAATGTGGTCTAAGAACTTAAAAAATTTTAATTTACCTATTCAAACCATATCATTATTATTTGCTTTTATATATAAATCAGAAATAACCAATTTAAAATGGAAAATTTTAAAGTAAAAAAAATCCCCCCCCCCCAATTTTTTAAACCCCTTATGATTCATCACCCCCAAACTCAATCCCAGCCTTCCCTTTGTGGTATAGTGCCTGCAGTACAATTTCAGAGAGATCCATACACATGAACACAAGTTATTGTCTGGAAACTAGAAAAATGCTTGTTTTTTTGCCCCTTTTTTGTCCCAAATTCCTAAACTTTTAGGGCAATTACCCCCAAACTCAAACCCAGCTTTCCCTTTGTGATATGGAACCTTGTAGTACAATTTCATAAAGATCCATACACTTACACACAAGTTATTGTCATGAAACTAGAAAAATGCTTGTTTTTTTGCCCCTAATTCCTAATATTTTGAGGCAATTACCCCAAAAATCAATCCCAGCATTCCCTGTGTGATATGGAACCTTGTGGTACAATGTCAGAGAGATCCATGCACTAACACACAAGTTAAGTCTGGAAGTTACAAAAATGCTTATTTTTGGCCCCTTATTCCTTAACTGTTGGTACCATAACCCCCAAAATCAATCCCAACCTTCCTTTTGTGGTATTGAACCTTAAGGTAAAATTTCATAGAGATCCATTCACTTAAACTAAAGTTAGAGTGCGAAAACCAATGTGTCTTCGGACGACGATGACGACGCCAACATCATACCAATATACGACCACAAAAATTTGTTTGCGGTCGTATAAAAAATGTATTTATTATAAAAATGTGTTTTCATTTTCAGACTTATTTAAGTCAGAAAATGACAGACTTGTTTAGGTCTATTTATGTTTATGAAAAGACTTAATCTTAATTGGTGGCCAAAGTGCACCACCTATGACATCATAAAGCTGTCTGAGCGTTCACAAGGACCTGAGCTACATGTATCAATATTTAATCATCTAATAGAACATTTTTACTTAACACAAGATTATTTTCCCCATTTTGTGTAGTTCACAAGGACCTGAGCTATCTATATTTAATCATCTGATTGAACATTTTTACTTAACATAAGATTATTTTCCTCATTTTGTGTGGTTATAGATGGTTGCATTGTAAAGTAAATAAACACTATCTCAGTTTTTTTAGGCTCTCATGCATTTTTTTCTTTAAAAAACAAAGCATTGTCTTTCAATGTTGTCATTATTTCATGTAGATGCTTGACCTTTTTATAAATATGCTTGGGTCTTGAAGTTGACCAATTTTGGTAACTTACATGACTTATCGACTTGTAGGAGTCAATATTTACAACTTTTTAATTCAGGTAAATATTTCTTGCTTAACACTAATTGACTTATTGAAGTCATAATTTGTCTTAAATTAAAGGGAGACAAATCTTGAAACCTACAAATTTAGACCTCTATGAGTCAAAAGCCGAATTAGACTTATTTATGTCTGAGCTCTGACTGTTGGTGTTTTAATGGTGTATAATGTGATGTTTCAGGTTTTTTTTTAAACATTTGTGCTCTTTTGGTTTATAAAGTGCAGAGTTCGCGAAAATGGTCGGTCCTGTCGGTCAAAATGAGGCTCGGACCAGTATTTTGAAGGCTAGTGCCGGTCCCGATGACCGATCTAAAAACGGCCATTGTAGTGCATATTTCGGCACTTTTTTTACATCGGTTATTAGATGTACCTCAACTGTTTTCAATAAGTGTTTACATCGGTTATCAGATGTACCCGCTGCAAATTTTCGGTACTGGTTTACGGATTTATTATGAACAAACCAAAGCGGCGATCTACATGTGGCCTACTAAATTTGTTCATAGAGCCATCCCTGGCAAACAATCGGCGATTGAACCCTACAATGGAGCAAACAAATACTGTAACAGCCGAGAAAGTGATTCAGATGATGAAATGGATAGTGAAGATGACTTTAAATAAGAACAATCAAAAGACCTGAACTGGTCCTTCATTGTTAATGTGCCTGTGCCGTGGGTGCGAAGAATAAAACTAATATTAATAAAGTTATTTTTCGATAAAATATGTCATTAATTTTATTTAAGATTAAATTGACAGATTTTGTAGGACTGGCTAAAATTTTGTAGGACTGACAAATAATCATGCTTTGTCGGTCCCATGACCAACGGGTCAAAATAAGTTTTCGCGAACTCTGAAAGTGGTTACAATGGTTACTCAGTGTTCCCGCCTGCCCTAAATAGAAGGGCGGTCCGCCCTTGGTGCGCTTACCCCCGCCCTTCTGCCCTCCAAAGTAAAAGAATGCACCCCTCTGCCTTTTCAAAAAAATAAAATTTCCAAATTTCATGCCTACCAGCGTTTCCGGTAAAATTGTTACCTGATTGTGTAACACTAATTAACTGACGATGGCATGGATGGGTATTAAGTTTAATACCTAGTGCTTTGGCAGTTTTATCACCTTTTTTATGATTGTTTACTGCTAATTAGTGGATTTAAGATAATTGAACAAATACTAGATATTTAATATGTTATCCATTTGTAATGTTTATGTACAGCATGTACACCTGAAAAAATTTATTTCAGTAGGCATAACATAAAAAATAAAATCTTAAACAATTTTAAAGGCATACATAGTTTTGACTTAATTGGTAAAAAATGTTTTGTTTCATAACCATGAGTATGAAATTTAAAGAGGAATCAAAGAAATTTGTACTTTGAACATAAGATTCACTTCCTGTTTTTAATACTTCTTGTATTTTATAATCCTCCTGACATAGGAGCACTCAACAAATTTATTTTTAACAATGATGGAGAAAAAAGTATCTGTTTATACCTTCTGCAATATATTATTGCATCAATATAAAATATGATCATCTCCTGTCTCACCTGTTATATTTATAAAACTCCTAACTGAGGAGCACTTTGGTGTGTACTTAAAAATACTTTTTTGTAACAATTCAAATGATAATAAATAACTCTCAATAACATATATATACTATATGTTTGAACAAGTAATTTATATGTAGATGATTTAATTACATTCAACATTCAATTTTGTATGTATAACTCTATCTTTCAAAACTACTTGTTTATTTTGGTATAACGAAGTTATAAAACATTGAAATTTCTGATGATTATTTTCCATACCGAATGTACAAGTTTGTTTAGATTAACATCAAAATGATATGCTTTGCTTCATGGTATGATAATTTGATGAAAAAAAATTCTTACTGGAACCAACATCAAGAACACATTAATTTCTGAATATGGTTTAAATACAACTAATGTTCTCCAGCTGAGCCTAGCAATATTCAAGGTAATTTATACACTGTCCAACATTGCCCTTAAAATCTGGGTTATAACGCTAAAGTGCCCTTTCAGACAGCTAGCACCCTTCTGCCCTGAAATTCAAGCTGGAACACTGGTTACTCTTAAACATTTTAGTGCTGTTTTTTCAATGAAATATTTCATGATTTGAATGATTGCGTACGGTTAAAGCTTATGAAGTAGGAAACCTGATTACGTTTTTAGAATGTCACTTTACATGTAATTTGAAACAATAAAATTTTTTTATAGCATTACACCAACTAAAACACAATTAAAAAATTATTCAACACAAAACCAATAAAATGGGTGCGAATGTGAAAGGGGCGAATGATAATGGGAGCAAACGTGATTTTGGGAGAATGGACCCAGATTCGCCACAGTCAGGTGATCTGGAATATGTAATTACATCTCCATTGGAAGTAATGGGATGGAATTGTAACCCTGTCGGTAGAGTAGCAAACATGACCATGACATGAACAGTTTGTGTTGTCTAAACAATTATGACCTCTTCAGAAGCTGTAAAGCTATTTTTATCATTTTTTACTGTCACTCTGTCCTATGACTTAGGAAGGTGACACATCAACAAACAAAAACAGCCTTACAAGACCTAATAAGTATAGGAAGGTGACACATCAACAAACAAAAACAGCCTTACAAAACCTAATAAGTATTGCCCTATTAGTTAATACTATTTGGACTAGGACTTGCACAAAAACGTCTAGCCCTAAATTGTGTTTCTTAGTTGAATTTATCATATTTATTCTTCTGTAAACTACCTGGTCCATAAAACCGTTTGCCTCGTGTTACATCAAAAACTTTGAAGTTAACAGCTATCAATATTCTTCCATCTTGACCTCTGCCATCATATTCTTTCAATTGTTCAAGTGTAAAATCTTTTTTCTTCAAACGGGGAATCTGCGGCTTCGGCGCCGAGGGTGTAGTATCACGTCTTCCCCCAATTATTTTGTACAATAAAAATAGACATATTGCAAGAAGCAAAAGATTAAGAGGGCTTCCAATCAATTCTGACAGAAGATTTGAGAAAAATCCGCCACTTTGGGTCTCGTCAACAACTTCGTCAGCCATTTTATGAATATATATCGCTATTAGTTGTACTGGTTTGAGCGGTAAGCTGTGGTAGTTGACAAGGAACCGGTATCCATAAGGGGGAGTTAAATTGTGTGTACGTGTCATCCGTACATTTCATAAGCCATCATAAAAAGAATAATGTAAACATCGTAAAAACTAAGAAAAAAGGTACAAAAACAAAACGAAACGAAACAAAATAAAAAAACAAAACACAAAAAGAACCCCCCAAAAAACAATAAAACAATCAAAAACAAAAACAAAAACAAAACGAAACAAAATTATCGGGTTTTATTGTGCATCTGTAAATTGACAAAAAAAAATAAAGCATAAATTATACTCAAAGCAAAACACTTCCCTAAATCAAAGAATTGTAATATAAATACATATAAACAGTACCACTTATTCGTTATAAAATTCTATAATTGAATATATATGTGCAAGGAAATATATTAACTGATATTAAAAATTCGTAAGGGTTCCGCGGAACCCAGTGTCTCGCCTACTTTTTCTGTTAATCGCAGGCTCAACAAAAATGAGGAAGTAAATCAATAAAAATATTCCTCTTGATACTATCTTTTGATTGTAAGAAGCTTCTGTCCAAGTTTGGTAAAATTCCAGGATAGTTTATGAATCTAATAAATGTTTAAAAACTTTAACTGCAGACTGAATGTAATGTTAACTGGAAGAAAACAAAATTTCCTTCTAGGTACTAGCATTTGATCATAAACAAGCTTCTGTCCAAGTTTGGTACAAATCCAAAATAGTATAAAAAAGTTATTAAAATTTTAAAAACTTTAACCACAGAGTGAATATGTTGTTTCCTGGCAGAAAATCTAAGTCCATTTAAAAGTAAAATACGGAAAAAATGGATTTATTTTTTTACAAAATTTCCTTCTAGATACTAGCTTTTGATCATAAACAAGCTTCTGTCCAAGTTTGGTACAAATCCAAAATAGTATAAGAAAGTTATTAAAATTTTAAAAACTTTAACCACAAATAAGTGAATGTGTTGTTTCCTGGCAGAAAATCTAAGTCCATTTAAAAGTAAAATACGGAAAAAATGGATTTATTTTTTTACAAAATTTACTTCTAGATACTATCTTATGATCATAAACAAGCTTCTGTCCAAGTTTGGTACAAACCCAGGATAGTTTAAGAAAGTTATTAAAATTTTAAAAACTTTAACCACAGAGTGAATGTAATATTTACTGGCAGAAAAACTAAGTCCATTTATTAGTAAAATACGGAAAAAATGGAATTTTATTTTTACAAAATTTACTTCTGGATACTATCTTATGATCATAAACAAGCTTCTATCCAAGTTTGGTAGAAATCCAGGATAGTTTAAGAAAGTTATTAAAATTTCAAAAACTTTAACCACAGAGTGAATATTTGTGGACGCCGCCGACGACGACGACGACGACGACGACGACGCCGCCGACGGAATGTAGGATCGCTATGTCTCGCTTTTTCAACTAAAGTCGAAGGCTCGACAAAAATGATACCACAAACTGATGTCTTTTCGTAGATATATAGCACTGAAGGAAATAATCCAGACCACTATATAATATCTACTAAAAGGTAAAAGGCAAATGTTCCCTACAATAGCACTTTGTAGTACAAAACCAGTGTAATAAGAATCCTAGCTATTCAAAATTAAATGTTACGCAGTCAAAATACGCATCTTAATTTAATCGAAAAAGAATGGTGATTTCTGTTATGTAAAAGGTTTATCCATTTGTTCACAGTCATTAAATTTTACTAATACTTTTGAAATCTAAATTTGGTAAAAGGACTTTAACAATGTATATAGAAATATGAAACTAGTGTGAAACTAGCTAAATATGAATACAATGAGATATGGGGTATTGGTTCAGTGAGGCAGTAAACCAACAACACAAAAACCCAAAAAGACCTTTTTTATTTAATTAGCGGGGACGTTACTCTAATTATTTGTGTCATTTTTGCACATCTGATCATTACAGACACTGTCAGTGTAGCAAAGTTCTGCTTCCCAAAGATGTCTACTTAGTTATTGAATGATGCATTTAAATAGTGACTTTGCAATACATTCCCAGAAATTTCGCAAGCCTTAATAAACCAATAAAAAACACCCTTTGCTATTGAAAATAAACATTCTGCATTATACATGGTCGACATTGAGTTTGAATACGACCGACCGTGCAAGACCCTCATGGGTAGTCAAGGTAGTTAAAAACTCCACTCGTCGTTTGAATACGAACTTATTAAACCTTATAAAAAGTTTTACTTTTTAAAGAAAAAAATTAAACAAAAGGGTGGCCACATACAAATTGTGATGGATGCACCGACCTTTTAACGCAGGTCAAACTCCTACTGCTTCATCATTACAATCCATGAATTTCTTATCATCTTAATTCATATTCTACATTTAATTAACTGACTTTCTAATTATATATTCCAGTTTACAAATTGTTCAATTTAACAATTCTTCATGGTATTAAAATCACCATTTAGTCTGATAAAGCTGCTTCCTGTCCAGCAGTAAATATTACAGTCATATTTCAAATGGATAGTTATGTAATGCGGAAACATTGCTATAGTCAAATTAAAATTCTAGTTGATAAATTCTTGTTTAACAAAACCATGTCTGCATGTGTAGGAAACGTGTCGTCTGACACAAACAATGATTGGTTTGTTGATTTTTGGTTTTATAACGCAACTCTAAGCAATATTGGCTTTTTCTTTGGTCAGTTTTTATGTGTGGAGGAAGCCGGAGTGCACTCCGAACCATCCGACCTTAGGGTGGAAAATTGGCAGTTCTAGTCAATTAAAATTGGAGTCGAATGCAACAGGCGGGGTTCAAACTTTGAAATATACAATGAAGCAATAATTTTACTAAAATAAATGAAAGAAACTTTTTTCACTGTATACAGTTTTCGTTCTATAAATAGTTTTGTTTTCCATTATGTTAATTGAAGATGCCAAGAGATTTTAAATAGAATCGAATAAAAAACCCAAATGATATCATCAGCCAAGTTAACTTTATAGTTCAATCATACATTTTTTTTTGTCGCTGGGATGCTAGCTGTCTCATTGAGGGAAACTTGCATACTAGTATATATCTTTTTTCTTACCGTCAAACGTGTTCACTGTCTTTTTTGCTATTTTAGTCGACATGTTGCTGTTTCGTTGACGTTTATCCCACATTTTCTATGTGACGCAAACATATATATGTTCAAGCATACAGTTAAGTATTTATTTCATGCATAATATAATGAAAAAAGCAAATGAGAAGATCAGAGAACAAAAGAGAAAGAAAAAAGAATAATATGATTTTCAAAAATGACCCGTTCGTTCGCTCGATTCGGTTGTCTATGAATGTAGTTCCTGTCATTTTTATATTTGTAAACAGATAACTTTCATTACTGTGTCTTTTCATACAAAATCTGTGGCTCAACATTATTAGTTATGTTATTTTTTTTGATAGTCAAGTATATATTCATTTTTTTAATATTAAGATGGCATTGTGGTACTATCTGTATAAGTTCTAGCACTAAAAGGCGACTCGGACTATTCAAGCAGCGAAATATAAAATAATAGCTTTTCTCATATTCTAGTGACTTTATTAGTTCAGAATAAGTCAATTCATGAGTATATGTAAGGATGTGCTTCAGATTTTCAACTTTTGTTTCATTTTGTTAACTGTGTACCTTAAATGTGCAATACTTGAAAAAAAGATGTCTCCATTGGTCCAACTCCAGAGCTGAAACCTGCAGACTTCAGGTTAGCGGGGACGTTGCTCTGTACATAGACGCTTGTGTCATTTTTGCACATATGATCTTTACAGACACTGTCAGTGTAGCAAAATTCTGTTTCCCTAAGATGTTTACTTAGTTACTGAATGATGCATTCAAATAGTGACTGCGCGATACATTCCCAAAAATTTCCAAAACCTTGGAAATGAAAAACACCCTTTTCTATTGAAAATAAACATTGTTAATTAAATGGTGTCAACTAATTATCTGACCTTTACAAAGTTTTACAGTGTGTCGTAGTTCGAAATGTGGAACGATTGCGGAAAATAACCAACACAGTGTACACACAAATGTAAAGGATTTTCGACATGAAGAAAATAGATGATCATGAAATAAAAACAATCGCACCAAAATTGATAATTACTGGGAAGTGTCCGTGTAATGATACCCATGTAATATCAGAAAATAGTTTATAACAGATGATCAGAAGACGATTTTGTATTAGAAAAAGTTAATAGTTTATGCACAAATCAGAATTCACCTTTTAGACAAAATACTTTTTGTCCTGTCTTTAGATCTTGGTACTTCACTAAATGGAAGCGAAAATTTATCTCTTAGTCAAAATACATCCTTAATTAAAGAAGTCTTTCATTTTATTCGGAAAACTGAACGTTTTGACCTTTAGACAATGTTAGAAATATATTTTTCTTTCTTTTTTGAACCAATAAACATAGTTTAGTATGTCGGTGAATAAGCTTTTTGACGTAGGACTATTGTTTATTTATTTGGGAAATTGTGAACTTTCTTTTTTTCTATCAACATTCTACAAATTTATTATCATCTAAATATGTTGTTGTTGCATGTCTACGGAAGCGTATAGGTATCTTTTTTTGTTGTTGTTGCTATTGACTTGTTGCGTTATATCATACTTATCGATATATTTTATGTCGACTTGTGTGGCGATACCGCAATAAATTATAAAAAATATTGCGAAATATTGTGTTATATCAAAACAATGCGATATAAAAATATTGACTTGAAGTAGATGTCGATATATATATGTCGATACAAATTATAATCGAATTTCGTTACATCGATTAAAAATGACAATAGATATAAGAAAATGTGGTATGAGTGCCTATGAGACAACTCTCCATCCAAGTCAAAATTTATAAAAGTAAACCATTATAGGTCAAAGTACGTCGTCAACACGGAGCCTTGGCTCACACCGAACAACAAGCTATAAAGGGCCCCAAAAATTACTAGTGTAAAACCATTCAAACGGGAAAACCAATGGTCTAATCTATATAAAAGACGAGAAACGAGAAACACTTATGAACCACATCAACAAACGACAACTACTGAACATCAGATTCCTGACTTGGGACAGGTGCAAACAATTGCAGCGGGTTTAAACGTTTTAATGGTACCAAACTTTCACCCTTATCTGAAACAATAGTGTAACATCACAACATAGAAAGACACACTATGAAATATCAACTGAAATGGCTTAACTCAATCAAAGGACATATTAACACCAGCGAACATACACTGAACAAATAAATTTGATCTATTGTAGTCTTGTTTCTGGGCAATAAACACACAAGAAACAATCTAAAGGGTTACGGATTCTTTATTTCGTAGTTTATATATACTATAATCCAAAATAAATACCCTGTAATAACAATACATTATATTAATGGATGTAATATAATTAAGTAACTATATAAAAGCTTTAAAACATTATGTTAACAATTATGAACAAGGAAACTGTTTACTTTTCCAAGCATTTCAATAATAAAAGAATAATATATAATTTCATTAAGTCAGAAATAGTGATCTCCAATTCTATTGTCTCATAAACACATCTAAATACCAAATCTAATCATAATGCATATGTCGGTGCATTAGTAACACATTGTAACAGTAATGCAATGAACTGTTAAATACCAAATTTAAATAAGCATATTTGAAAATAACATATACATGCAAAGCAAGAACATACGTGCAAGCAAAGCATAAAGCACTTTCTAAAGCAGACAATACAATAAGCATAACGCACATAGATTCAACATAACATAACCTACCTCACAAGTATTTGTGAAGGCTTGAAATACAATATTTAAATCACATCAGGTTGATGCCAACATGGTGCATCATCAATATGGTAGATACCTGCAGTACAAATATTAAATTCACAACTAACCTATTCTGCATATCAAAATGAGATAGTTAATATCTTTATCAATTTATGACTTTATTTAATATCTGAAATTATTTTAAAACATTCATTACTGAAATTTAGCTGTTATATAATTTACCGTATTTAACCATAAAAGCACAATTATTAAAGAGATTTTAAGTTCTTTTAAGTTTTCTATTATTACACTTACATATCACATCTACACATCATTCAAACATGCATTTCTTCATAACATTCATACATATAATTATAAGTATAGATAATTGATATATTAGACGTATAAGAAGAATAACTGACCTAAAAAATATGAAAACCAAACTCCAAACAGAATATAATCAGAATTTACTGAACACAGAAAATGGTGTCCATCACACAAAGTGACCATATAGAAAAGTAAAACTTCCCGCCAAAGAATTGACAACTAATCAATACAAATAAAACCCAATTGAAACACCTGATAAAAGTCACACCTGAGTGAACCTGAAATTTACACTCCGGATAATTTAAGGTAACACGATACCGAATGGCATATCTCCCGATTTCTAAAATTTTTGGTACATTGATTCCTTGATTCGAGTTACATCGGAATTTGAAATAAAAAATGGGGGTCACCATTCTTGTTTTTTTGTAATTTTGATAAGTAAATGTCAATTTTGGCGCCAAATTTACATAGATATATAGGGAAAATGCCTTTTTTTCGACTTACTTTTCTAGATTTTTCAATGGATGGCTATTTTCTCATATACAGAGAAAGACTAAAAACTAACATAATATTCAGGATTGTATACCAAATCCATACATGTATAAAAAAAACATATGTCACCATCCTTGTTTTTTTAGATAAATCGCTTCACACTATGATACAAATACAAAATAAATAAACTAAAGGAAGAATAAAATGCCAATTTATCAATTATATTTATCTCAATATTTCGAGAAGAATACCGCTTTATGTTTCTTATATTACGATATATCGATATACTAGAAAATGGTTTGTTGCGTTGTTTCGACATATATCGATTTTCATATATAGAATGATTGACACTGGCGTGCTTTTTGAAGGATACATATGAACTCGTACCTTCGGCAACTCGTACTCAACCAACTCGTACCCTATTTTTACCAACTCGTACTTCTACCAACTCGTACCCAATATTTTTTTTAACATATATTACAGTCATATTTCAAATAAATAGTTATGTGATGCGGAAAAAAATGCTAGAATCAAATTCAGATATTCCGTTTTAATCTTTTGATTATCTTCTTTGTTTTATACGTTGAAAATTACTGTTTATTGGAAATGTTTAAAATACCATTAACAGTCATACCAGGCAAAATGATAGGTGACTGCAGGTCACATTTACATATCACCAACTTTTAAGATGTTGTAGATCTATTCACGTAGGGTATCAATCGTACATTTAAGACACCTCGTGAAATGACTTATGGTGGTCTTATGATTGTCATAAATGTTACGACATCACATATTTGTTTCTAAGGTGATAAGTGTCATTTACTGCATTTTTATTTGCAAAAAGGGGGACCCAAACTAGGCAACGTTTGGAGTGGCATATGCTAAAAGTCTATACATAAACCATATATATAGCTCTATAGGGGGCAGGGCCCTACCCCTCCTACTAAATCCGTTTCTGCATACAGCCTCCCTTACTCTCTTTTTGGCACTGTTTGTTGTGTTGTTCAATCTGCTAAATAGTAAAGATTTATTCTTCCCGATCCACTTCGTCATAAAATTTGATTCTCCTGCGACGTAAAATTTGGAATTCTTTTCTTAGTCATGATTATTTTTAATAAATATTTATAATATTTCTTTCCTTATATAGTAGTTCATTAACGTATTTGCACGGGCATTTCGTTAAGCGGGTACTCGATGGTGCAGATCTATGGTGATGTGACCTGGAGGCACATATAATAGGCTATGGTACAGATAAATAGCAGTGTGTCCTGCAGGCACCTACAAGAGGCTATGGTACAGACATATAGTAATGTGACCTACATGCACCTATTTTACAGATAAATAGCAGTGTGACCTGCAGGCACATACAAGAGGCTATGGTACAGATATATAGTGATGTGACCTACATGCACCTATTTTACAGATAAATAGCAGTCACTGTGTGACCTGCAGGCACCTTTAATAGAACATGGTAGAGTCCTATAGTGGTGTAACTAGCAGACATCTATGCTAGGCTATGGTACAGATAATTACCGGTAGCAATGTGAGCAAGCCTGAGACAAATGGACAAATGTTAAAAACAACACACATTAGGAAACGCTGTTTAAATATAAGATATGAAGATCTACACGGGTAATGATAATACGCGTAGGTATATGCAGCACTACATTTTTATAAGTGGTGCCTTGCAGTAACCCTTCACATGAGCTTTTATCCTCGTGCAACTAGTATACATTATTGTTTAGATGCCAACTGAAGCTCGCCTCCGGGTGCGGGATTTTCTAGCTGCATTGAAGACCCATTGTTGTCCTTGGGCTGTTTACCGCTTTTTTGTCGGGTTGCTGTTACTTTGACACATTCCCCGTTTCCATTGTCTATTCTAGTTTTTTGGTTTTTAATGCTTTTCAGTTTGCAACTGTTTTGATTCAAGCGCCACTTATGAGTCTTATGCAGACGAAACGCGCGTATGGCGTACCAAATTATAAGCCTGGTATCTCTGATGAGTTTTTACACAATTTCCATAGCGATGACGATAGCCTTTGTTCCACCGCTGTTCCTGATGTTGTTTGAAAATACCAAGAAAATTAAACAATCAAAATGAGGCAACAGTTGTTACCGATGTTCAAATCTCACGAGTCCATTAAGAAGATGCAAATGAAGTTAAAAAAAGGGAAATTACTTGACCTCCGAAAGAAGCGAGACCTGGTGGGTGCATCACCTGCCATTCGAATCTACACTTGGCCAAAATGTCACAATCGGGAATATGACATAAAAAGACAAGACGACCTTTCGGGAAATCAGGAATAGGACACAACTGATAAATGTTCAGATAAAACGAATATTCGGAAAATCAGGAATAGGACACAATCGGTTAATATAGATAAGACGACCATTCGAAAAACCGGGAAACGGACACAATCGGTAAATATAGATAAGACGACCATTCGAAAAACCGGAAAACGGACACAATCGGTAAATATAGATAAGACGACCATTCGAAAAACCGGGAAACGGACACAATCGGTTAATACACAGTAAAGACGAATTTTCCGAAAACCGACGAAATAGAGACACTAATATGAATAATAAGTAGTCATTATATGTGAAATATATAGGTTTTCGGTAAACAGGGAGTTGATTAGCAATGAATTTATAAAAGCACCAAATGGTATAGCATATTCGTATAAAGGCTGATGACAAATTTGAAAAAAAAGTTCTGATATATAATTACCAAGTGTTCAATTGACTAGGATTGTCAGTTGTTTTCCTACCGAAGGTCGGTGGTTCTCGCCGGGCACTCTGGCTTCCTCAGCCAATGAAAACTGACCGCCACGAAATAGCAAGATGATGCATTAATTTTTTTCTATTAATATAGAATTTTGTTCGTTCAGTCCATTGATATTTTTGTCTGTAGTAAGTACCATTCAACAAGTTATATGAATGATTAATTTGCTTATCACAATTATATAGAACATATGCCAATTTCAAGTTTAAAAACACGTTACAAATATATCCCACTTTCTGCATGTTTACTTAATATTTTGTAACCTCTCATGCAATATCTTAAAAAATGTATTTTTACTGACGTAACCGAAAGCGTTATTCAGACATTTTCCTTACAAAATGAAATGTTTACTTAACAAAGTTGGGAGATGATTTGGCAAATTTGATTAAGGTAAAACCTGAATTAAGCAAGGTATCTCTATGGAACCCCTTCTGAAAATGATTGTTTTTCGTTAAGTTTTATCTTAATGGTACTAGTTAGGGCTTTGGCCATCTTTTGATATTAAACGACTGATTTTGACTTTCTATGACTGTATTTTACAGTAACAAAGTTTTTTAAGATGATGTTCCTCAATACACTGTGATTGACCACCGTACTTATTAATTCGACTGACATCACCTACTGAGTGATATGTTTTTCCTTTCTCGTCAAACCGTAATGTCCCTTCAAAGATAGCATCTCCCGGCTTTGTTTGAACGGTTATCTGATAACCAATATAAGACTTAACACGATCGCCGTATACAACGTTCCTATTTTTGACGATATTCCTGGTCCTTTTGTTGGGCGGAGTTACACGCAGAGCATATTTTATAGTCTTCAAGTATAATTTTTCACAAACGTCAAAGGAATCTTTTAAATCTTGATTAATCTTAGATACCATAGTATGACCAATAGTGAGAACTGTCTTATTTTCAATATCTAACGTTTCAAGTTTAGAACAAGTACACCAATGAGGTAGGATACCAGCGTCATCACAAGTTCTGTCTTCGGGAATTTCATTAAACAAGTTCATTGATCTTTTCTTTTTCACTTCTTTTTTCTCAATTCCATTGAAATCCAAAATATGTTCTAATGTCGCAAATATGTCAAAAGGAGTTGTAAGTCTTCTAGCATTGATCTGTAAATTTCTATGAATGTCTGGATACTTTTTACGGAACCATTGAGGGAATACAATCAGCATAAAAGGAAGACGTTCTTCCAATTTGCCAACAAATGTTTCCCTAAAATTACCAAAACGCATTCCATGATCGCTGAAAAAGAAAATAACTGTGTTTTTTAAGTTATCACTTTCAAACATGTCTCTGAAAAAATTCAGGAAGATTGTATCTGCTTTATATGTTCCTTCGAGATAATCATGTGTTAGCCTTGAGAAGAATGTGAAGGAAAAATGTGGTTTAGACTGAAACATCTGAGCAAAATTCTTTAAATAGTCTAGAACTATATCAGTTTCTGTTCTTCCATGTACACAATAGTGTTTAGAATTCCAAACCTTTTTAGTTTTTTCCATAGCAACACTTAAAGGCCTATTGAAGTAATCTCCAGGAGGTATTTTAAATCCAGATTTCTTAAAATCAAAAATTGCTATATTAGGATGATCTTCAGCATATAAAGTTCTATACCCCTTTGCAGAATAATTATTCCAAATAAAATTAAATTTGTCCATTGGCATCCACCTTATTGATTCGTTCCATGATAACTGATCGACATATTTTCCCGTTGTCATCGGAACTATATTTGGAAAAGTGTTATCAGCAACTTTATTATAGCCACGTAAATCTATAGCGTTGAGTTTGTTTACAAAATACGTCCAAGTTTTCTTCATATAGCGTAGCATATTATTTCGAGAAATTGAATCAACACCCACCATCAAAATATTTAACTGTCCATTTCGTGTGTTTGCAAATTTAATGGCATTTTTTTCACATCGATCTTCGACGTCTTCTTTTAAATGAACGAAAGAAAAGAAATTTGTATACAAGTCTAGACCAGCTTCAGTGTAGCATTTAACACGAACAAATTCATTTGATATATCAACCCGATCTACGAATTCATTACTTTCGTTTATAAACTTTAGATAGTTGTGGTCTTGCATTTCATTATATGGTCTCCAAATGACTTCATATTTGCAGTATTTCATTTCATTTTTAAATTGCGAGTTATTAACAGCTTTCCAATTAATGAATATAGTGTTTCCATTTGCATATACTAGATCATATTTTACGGCACACGTTAAGACTGTTCCATTTCTTAAGATGTGTTTCACTGATTTATCAAACGGATCTATATGTGGAATTTTGCAAACTGAAGTATCTACTAAAAAGGGGACACTGGTACTTTTCAATTCAAGTATAGTAAATAACCTTTCGTCTGATACCTGGTAATGAGTGAAACGAATTTGCTGGTAATATACATAATAGACCAACATGAAAAGTAACAACACAAATATAAAACACATGAAATAGCGTTGATTCCTCATGTTTTGATTGATAATGATGGCTGCTCTAGCACTTTGGTTTACGCTGTATTATTTTGCTGTTTCTTATGCATCTAAGTAATTCTTTGAAGGTTGGTCTGTTCATATAATTAAGGGGTTTGTTGAGTAGAAGCTTTGCGCCTAAGTTTGATATCTTAACTGAAAAATAAAAACGAAATAAGATTTTTTCTTTGTGGTTAAAATGTTTTTGGTGAAAACTCACGAAAGATACATGAATAATAATTTGGTACGGCAGACGCGTGTTTTGTGTACACAATACACATCAGTGGCGCTCGACTTGAAACAGTTGGAAGACCAAATAAATATGAAGTAGAAGTGCATTAAAACCCGAAAATTAGTTAAAAAAAATGTACCAAATACAACTAATGCAATCTTTTAACCTATTTCTTGTTGTAGAAAAAACTTAGTATTTTAAATAATCTAACATTTTATAAACAATAGAATTACAGATACAGATACAAAATCAAATCAATGATAGTTCCTTATGTTCATGTCAAAAACAAACTACTGACTACTGGGATGTTGATACCTTCGGAGAAAAAACGCCTAACATCAGTGGTGACAAAGTATATTTCGATCTATATATCTTATGTTTTGCTGTAAAAAATAATCAATTTTCAAATAAAGAAATCGATGCTATCAACATCAACAGCATTCTTCATCATAAAGAAGTAATTTCTAGAATTCTGCTTTATTTTTAAAATCAGTCTGTTCCTATTGTCTCCTATAGTTACTCCAAAACCATTGCACCTACAATACTTAACTATAAACAATTAAGCATTAAAGTATTCTGATTAAGAATAATAATTGACAAACCCTCTTACATGTGACTGTTTCCACTCTCCATTTTCTTACAAGCCCTCTGGTCATTTTATTACTGGTGATCTAAATATAATTCAACATGAACATATGATATCTCAAAGTCCCACATTAAGAGATCAACAACAAATCAATTGGAATCATAACTTTAAAATAATAATGAATTCTTTTGAGGATAACACCAGAGCATGGACCAAACAAGAAAAGGTTAAACTAGACACTCTGTCAGAATGGGTTAAAACAGTTAGGTTGTTGATGAAACGAACAATCCACAAGTTAAAAAACTGTGTAAATGTTCGACCTAAATCCTTATTCAGAGACAAAGAGGCTGTGGATATTTGTTGTTGTTCCTGCGGACAAAGCTTCAAACAATATTGTTTTTGTACTAGTTTGTAAATCCTACTACTACGAGTGTATAATCATTGAATTAGGAATAAAAAGTTCAATCACAACAATACTGAACTCCGAGGAAAAATAAAAACGGAAGGTCCCTAATCAAATGGCAAAATCAAAAACAAACACATCAAACGAATGGACAACAACTGTCATATTCCTGACTTGGTACAGGCATTTTCTTATGTAGAAAATGGTGGATTGAACCTGGTTTTATAGCGCTAAACCTCTCACTTGTATGACAGTCGCATCAAATTCCATTATATTGACAACGATGCGTGAATAAAACAAACAGACATAATAGGTAAAAATGTCAAAATAAGGGTACAGCAGTCAACACCGTGTCACAATCTAAATCACAACAAAAACAAACAAATATTTAACAAAGAAGCACAAAAAAGCATATATCACATTTAACAACCTCGTTCATTGCTTACTTATTTTTGTATTTTATTTATGTATGCCAAATCAGCCCATAAGGATCGAGGGATTTTAAGCACTGGGACCGAATCGTAATTTAAACATTAACTCTGGCGTAGAATCTCGTGTTTGACATCGGAATGTAAACGTCACACAGGTAGAGATATAAACTATTTTGGCGTTCAAAGTATGCAAAAATTATAATAGAACAGTGGCGGGATGTTTAAAGTACAGAGACACGTCATATGTATCAAAGAAACATAAAAAGTCACACGGACAAAGAAACACAAGTAAAACTGAAAAATATTACAAACAACACAATGACGGGATGCATAATAAATGAACACTCATGTAATCCCACGTACGAAAACGTACAACGGTACATTACCGGCTCATCTGCATGTTCTACAAAGGAATTGTCAGTTAGATTATCCCAATTTTTGTCCGCAGTGAAAGAAGGATTACAGAAATACTGTGACACTGTTAACTGGAGTAGTAGCATTAACCATTTGTTGATTCTTAAGAACTCAAAAGAACTTTCTGAAAATTTAAAATTTCGGTAATTTTCTGAAATAAACTTTATCAAAACCTTCGATTTTTCCACCCCTTACACCACCATACTACATGAAAAATTAAAAACTCGTTTTAAAGAAATAATCCACGATGTTTTCTTCCATAAAAATGTTACTATACACTACACATTTATTGTTTTGGGATATGATTCTACATATTTTGTTAACAATGAGCCCGAAAATAAAACATGCTACACCTAAGAACAAGTGATAAATTTGCTGGAGTTTCTCATTGACAACGTATTTGTTGAATTTGGAGGTAGAATTCCTAGCAGGTTGTCGAAATGCCTAATGGAACCAACTGTGCACCTCTCCTGGCCGACCATCTTTCTTATTTTCATATGAGTCGGAGTTCCTTCAGACACTTGTAAAGACAAGAAGATCAGAGAAGCCAGGTTATTTAATTTCACATACAGGTATATTGATTAATATGTTCTTTCCATTAACTTTTCTGATTGGGTCCCTTTTACATGTATATATCCTTCTGAACTACACAATAAAGAAACCACATCATTTCTAGACATTAACCTTTATTTGACAACAACGGTCGTCTCGGTACCAGAATCTATGACAAACGAGACGATTTCAATTTTGAAATTATAAATTTTCCTCACCCTAACATACCAACTTTACCCGCGTGTGGAGTATACATTTCTCTACGTATACAACATTCAAGAGCTTGTAGCTGCTATTCAGACTTAGTAAAATGTCATCGGTGTCCCAGCAAAAGAAAATAATGAGCCAGGGTTTTGTCAAAGAACTTATCATCCCTTTTTTCACGAAGTTAAATAAAAGTACCAAGACATAATAGATAAATATTCAGTTTCTACTTCACAAATAGTACAAGATGGTATATCTTAAGTTATAGATTGTAGGTGCTGAAGTTGTGTATCTTTTAATTTTACATTTGTGTCCCTGTCATTTGTCTTTGTGTGATTACATTGGTGCAGCAAATTCTCGTCAATTAAGGTTTACGACATCAGAAGTAGTTATGATATAATATATAGATGTGATATAAGACATCCACATAAGAAGTGTTTGCCTTGAAACAGGCAAATATAAATGCGGGATTAGTCTAACATATTACATAAGATTATCACTTACGAAGTTACTGACTTGGGACAGGCACATTTAGATGTGGGATTACTCTAACATATTACACAAGACTACCACATACGAAGTTCCTGACTTCGAACAGGAACATTTAAATGCGGAATTACTCCAACATATGACATAAGACAACCAAATATAAAAAAAAGTTTCTGACATGGAACTGGCACATATATAAAAAGTTTCTGACATGGAGCAGGCACATATAAATGCGGGAATACAATTGAATATGACATGAGACTACCACATACGAAGTTCCTGATTTGAGACAGTTATATAGAAATTCGGCATTAAACTGCTTTTGATATTACAATCCTTCCCTCTATATAATATTTACCCTTTTTCTTAAAAACAAGTCACAAATGGGGTAAACAATAGCAACCAGTACCGGGGCAGCACGTATCTCTAAAATAGCGATATGATGCATAACAAAGACACCAAAATAATTAGCAATTAGATACTGCATAAAGGAATGACTACTGTTACTGACAAAGAGCCGAACAATATTAACCCGAGGATAAGAGATCATGCCGTCCTATACTCTAAAGTCGCTTCATAATTTGTCTATTATAAAGTATTATTATAAAATACATCAAATCTCAAACGTAACAATGGTAACATTCTATGGAACTTTGCTAATCAAAAGGTGTTGTTTAGTCAGCATGTGTTTTTTTAGGGGAGTAAATAGGGATGGTGTTTTTGGAGGAACTCATTCTTAATTTTGTTACCATTCTTCTTTTATTTTAAATAAATAAATAAATAAATAAATAAATAAATAAATAAATGAATACATAAATAAATCAATCAATCAATCAAAAATAAATAAATAAATAAACAAATTAATTAATTAACTAATTAATTAAAAGGACTGAAAGAAATTACACTGGAGAACAACGACAATCAGTGACGTCTTATATGATGAATATATTTAGCTGTGTGGTTGAAAAATCTAAGAACCCAAAATGACTAAGAAAATTAAACGTTTTAAATGTGCATCAAAGACAACTTCGAAGTTTCTCATGGATTTAAGAAATGAAACGACCAGTCTTATAGCATTCCCTTTCTACAGTTAGTTACAGCGTTAAAATGTGAGCATTGAATTTCAATCTTCAAAGAAAAAGAAATTTAGATATTTCATTTTTGGATTTTTTATGGTTAAAGTTTTTCTAACAATGATTATATTTTAACTACACAATTAACAAATAAGTATGAGTTTGACTATCAGCCAGGCAGTACAATGATACATAGAGTAGAAGAAGCAAGATTGGGAACCCCCTTTGTTTAGAGGTTGGAACCAAGACCATATTAAGGATGTAGTTGTGAAATCAAAAAAATCTAGAATTTAAAATTTATACTATAAGTCAGAAGAAAATGCATTAGTTAAGGAACAAAATAAGCTAAAAATATCGATAGGTTATGGAGCTCCTTTTCGAGATATTTAATTTTTAAAAAATGGCGGGAAAAGGCTGACTCGGATTTTTACCTTATGTATGCATTGGTAATATTTTGGTATCAAATCGTAAGAAAAGAAATCTAGAATGTGCTTAAATTTTGGTAAATGGCCTTTTATGAGCTATTAAAGTCTTATACATATTATATTAAAGGAAAAATGGTTGTTATGGGGCAAAATATTTTACCCTGTATCGTAGGAAAAAACTAAGGAGTCCGAACATCTGACACGAATTCCTTAACCTGACCTAAGTTCATCCTTAAGCCCTTAAAGTAAAAACATTATTCAAAGAACTTAAACTCATAAGATCACGATAATATGCTTCAAATCGACCACCATCGTATCTCTTTCCCTCATAAAATTTCGACCGATGAGTTGCAAAAAAACAGTAGATGTAGGGTACTCGTCAATGATATAAAATTCCCACGGCAAAAATGACAAAAAACAAATCTCGAGGGCAATATACAGTTTTTAACATCAGGCAGGTCGATAAATTAATTTATCATATATTTGTTACGAATACGTTGGGTTTTGCATATGTAATAACCTCAAAATTGCCCGGGGCAAAAAAGAGGTTATTGGTTATTGTGCCCTGGTTCAAAATGACGTCCTTAACGACAATGGCGAACAATGACGGTGCTCGTGTCATCGCAGTGGAGGAAAGCGATACGGCAGACTTTGTAGAGCAAATGAAAAACGCTAACACAAGGAAAAAAACTGAAAGTGACATTAAAATTCTAAAGGAGTGGTTAAAAAGTGCCGAAGAATTACGCAATTGTGTATTGCCATATTCCAAAATAAGTGGAAATGTGACAATAAATTTCTATGGAGTAAATGATAAAAACTAAATTTGAAAATGTGATAAAACTCTTGTGATAATTTGTTTTAAGATTTTACCTGTTATATTTCATTAAATTGTTATAATTGATCTTTTTTCTCTTTTCTGCAGAACTTAAATATGTGATCAATAGATTATAGCATGTCTTATCATATTGGCCCTGGTATTATCCCTCGACCCATATCGGCTAAAGCCTCGAGGCCGATATGGGAGTCTCGGGATGATACCAGGGCCAATATGGAAAAGGGCATGTTATAATCTATACATATAAATCGTTAAATTCACATTATTTTATAAAATTTGAGAATAAATTAAATCAACACACTCTTCTTCATTTAAGGAAAAAACGTAAGAAAAGGATTATTTGAATCTATATTTCAAAGCTCTTATTATGAGAATGTTTACACTAACTCATTACAAAAAAGTTAATCTAAAAATTAACTGACAGTGTATAATTTTACGTAAATTTTAATGACTTATTATTAAACACTAGGAATGTAAATTTACCTGTACTGTTGAAAATATAAAGATTTGAACAGCTACTGCTAGCACTTTTAGTACTTTTCGATCGAAAGAGAAGCGAAAGATATTAAAGGGATATTGATTTTCTTCAATGTTTCATCAAGGCACAAACCGCTGTACATATGCCACCTGGAGCTTTTCATATTTTCTTTACGCGTCAGTTCACGTCAATTCTGATTTTTTCAAACTTCTAATATTTGTCATTGTTTTAATTATTTCTAATGTGCTAGTTTAAAAAAAGATTCAAAGACAGGGCGTGTTTCACATTACTTAAGATGTTTTGAATAATTATATAATTTCCGTTCAAAGTCGATGGGCACTTTTTAATACCTTCCATGCCATGCATACAACAAATAAACCCCAATGGATGCAAATAAATGTTAGATATGACTTTATAGAGAAATAATATTTACTTATTCAGATTAATATTTATCCATTAAAATATTTTTTTTTAAAACAGATTCAAAATTGTTCCTTTAAAGTAATAAGTAAATGCAACTTTGACTGTATCTCCAAGAACGCTTGATATATTTTGCTTAGCATTCAGTTGCAAATACATTTTAGGACGAACACAAGTTATCGAAAAATCAGATTTTACAGAACGAATGTCCCAGTTTACGGGATGGCACATTGGACTGCAATTGTGATTTGTCGGGGGGAATTTCCTTTGCAACAGGTCACGTTTTGACCATCACATAATTGTTGCAATGGTATTTAATGTGAATGTAATTGTAGCATGGACTTATCCTAAGCAAAGAAGCGGATTTAATGAACCGAACGTGGTTGCGTATTCATAGAATCAAATACAGACAAACCCGTCCCTATTCAATATGAGTTTGTACTGTTGGACGGCTTTTATTAATGCGACAAAAAATTTTCTAGTCTTTTTTATCACTTTAAATTCGTTAATGTGTATTTAATTATGACTTAACAATGCATCAATTGTATTTTGAGAAAACACTTCAAATCGTTAAAACAGTTTTCATCTTCTTTGCTTTAGTTTTTGTCATAAGATTA